TTTTCCAGGAAAATGAGTGCGGTATTAATTACGTAAGACTTGTCTACAAAATCCAACATAACCGCCGTATCCATAAAAATGAAACATTTTTTCAAATTTGATTGCGGTTTTTAAGAGTACTTACTATGCCTGTTCTTGGCGTAAAATTTGGTTACATTTGATTAAATAAAAAGCGAGATTGTCTTCATCTGTAGCCCCTCCCTTCAAAACGTCGTGTCCCTTTTTTCGGAAAATGATAGAAGGTGAGCGCTAGAAATGCTTCAGGCTGGAAGTACATAGCGAAATGTTGGTCAAGGGCCCAATGTCCACAGACACAGCACTGGACATTTGTGACCAAATTATGTGTGGGTGTGTGGAACGATGATTGATCGACTTAGAAGTGATAGGCCTTGGATCACAACGCAGAGACAAGACTGACACATCCGCCTCATTCATCCCCAGAACAAATTGCGTCCTGCATCACTACGACATGTAATGTCCCTGGAAAAAGACCAATCTCAGCGAGAACTGACCAGCTCCAAAGGTTACATGAACTTGAACAATAGCTAGAAAGAATATAGGAGCAGATTTTCCCAACAGTTTAACCAAGAACGTATCTTTCCAATGCATCGACGGGGTCGGTCAGTCCTCAGTTTGGCAAATGTCCATAAGCGGTACTGATTTTGTGAATTTGGAAATTGGAGGTTTCAACTTGTGATGGATATTTTTGCTGAAAAATAAACAGTTCAATGAAAATCATTTGTCCTCATGACTTCTTCCTTGATGTGCGTGTCGTAAAGAAAAGGAAATGGCTCTCAATGAGAAATGGTTGGCAAGTACAATATTTGATCTCTATTCACATTTCTTTTCCCGTCAGTTTATCAAACGTTTGATATCGAAGCCCTGCTCATTTTCTTGAAACTACTAAACACAAAAGCGGCAGTTGATCGAAATGGGCAAGGTACGACCCCTACCCCTTGCCTGCCCAATCCCCCACCCCTACAAAAAAAAAGAAAATTGAAAAAAAAAATTTAAGTATTGAAATGGCAGCAGAATTATTAATCTTTAGCAGTAGGATAGTTTCATTTAAAAACAACGTATTGTGCAGTCTGTTCAATTCTTAAAAGAACCCCCCCCAAAAAAAAAAAACCCCAAAAAACAATCAACAAATGCAATCTGAGGGGAGACCTTGGACTGCCCAATCCTCTGCCAAAAGGATTTCCGCCCCAGTTGTTCTTGAGACCCGTGTGATAGCCATCTGTGGTGGAGCAGCTAGGCCGACTCTCATGTGGAGAGGGGTGGGGGGGCGTTCTGTTGTTTTCTTTGTGTGGGTTCATTAATGTATCATCATCATCCGGTGCCTTGCCGACTGGCGTGGGTGATCATGGACCTCCACTTCATTCTGTCTTGCGTTGCAACGATGGTGTTTGTCATTCTTGCTGTTCCCAGCCATGTTGTTAACTTGTCCAGTAGCTTTTCCCTCTATCTGCTTCTGCCTCTCTTTCCACCAAACTTGCCTGTTGTTACGATATTCTCCAATGCTTCTTTCCACATTTTGTGTTAAATGAACTTTGCCTGTCGCTTTCGTATATTTCTTCATAAGCTGTCGTCTGCAATTTTCCTCAACCAAGACTTCTTCATTCATGAACGAATACTAAAATTAAAACATACACATAGTTAAAAAACTGGGAGTTTGTCCAGGTTAAGAAGGCACACCCAAATGTTCTTACCTCCTTTCTATTCAGCGTCTGCGCTATTACTGACTCACACTCAGAGCAGTACCTCCACTTTCTGAACTCTCCTTTCTTAGTTTATTGCTTTAAGTAAGGGTCATAAAGTTTATGGTACCTGAGGGAGGGGTACCCGGAAACCTAACGCATGGATACACAAAGAACAACAGACAGCCGACACAACTGTTTCTGTTTTAAAAACAATCTTTTTTGTATGTTTTTTAATCGAGTCGCTCGGTTTTTGCACTGGGTCACTGTATCCCTCTCAGCCTGGATTGGCCCCTTACAGGGACGGTTAATGCCCGTCTCCTACCTAGCCTATATGATCTAGCCTAAGTTGTGTCGACTGGGGAGTCATACAGCTTCCATTCGAATAAAAAGGACAGGCGAGTTGGAAATGGGATACGGTTAGAATGTTGGCTGATGTGTTCTTTGTCTGATTGCGGATGTCTGCCTTCGAAAGAGTTGTGCTTTTCTAGGAGCGGGTGGTTGTCGCGGGCTCTGTTGTGGTTTCTCCTTTTCTCCTATCAAACATCTATCACCCTTACCTCCCCTCCTTCTTTTTTTGTGTTTGTTACTCTTTTGTAGCACCTCTAATCTTCTGCACTTAATATGACCTTATTGTATTGCAAGTGCCGTAAAACACTTACTAAAACTAAAAACTTAAGGAATGTGCTATAAATGAGCATGTGTACATGAAAAGTTGAATTTTTTAAAATTTTTGTTGTTGTGTGAAGCGCCTTGAGCCTCCAGGGAGTAGGCGTTATAGAATTGGTCTTTAATAATATTATCAAGGATAGTGATCAGTTATTGGGCAGATTCTTTTAGTAAAACGCTATCATATCTTATATATATATATATATATATATATATATATATATATATATATATATATATATAAGTTATATATATATATATATATATAACTTACATATAAGCTATCATATCTTATATACATATAGGTGGCCTAGTGGTCAGTCTTTCGGACTCGCAACCGTAAGGTCGTGGGTTCGAATCCCGTCAGGGGCCCGACGTTGTGTCCTTGGGAAAGGCACTTTACACGAATTTTCCTCACTTCACCCAGGTGGGAATGGGTACCCGGCTATAGACAGCGAAAGATCTTGTCAGTTTGTTAGTGTTTGAGCGCTTAGTCGGTTGCTTGCACTGTATGCTTCCCGGGAAGCTGAGAATGTTTCGGAGTGTTCTGTGGTCTGCTGGGGTAATAATATAGTGTAAAGCGCATAGAGCCTGCAGTTAAGCGGGGATATGTGCTATACAAATGCTATTTATTATTATTATTATTAAATCAATCGTTAATACTTTCAAGTCACTGTATTTTCCTTTTGCTTCCTAAAGGACTCTCCGACTTGTCGTTCAAACGACCATACTTCGAGTGCTGTTAAGACAGCAGAGAATCGCTAGATTTTGTCATTTGCGCACTTCGAATTACGTAGTATTGTAAAAACATTCTGACTTCAATAAGAATATTATAATGGGACACTATGATGAAGCTGTTTCACGTAGTCTAAAAGGGGTTCACTGTTGTATTCATGTTCGTCCCCCTTCCATCTGCCCCCCCCCCCCCAACACACAATTCTCAAGATATGTTAAACGTGTTTTGGTTCATGACGTCATGGGACCCAATTGTCAACTTATGGAAAGTGGATACCCCGGATGTCAGCTATTATAATATGTCTAAGGAGCTCCGAATGGAGGGCTTCAGTTTATTTTTACAGAAAAATGTGAGCCTCCGACTTATACCTGGAGGCGCGCCGATAGCTCAGTAGGTATCATGTTGAATTTTGAAATGGATTGTCTTTGTTCGAATCCTCAAGGGAATTTTCTTAGCTTTGGTTGTTTTTGATGAGTTTTTAAGACTCTTCTCTCGTTCAGTTCGGTCCTTTTGGAGAATGACGTTGAATTTGGAGGCCTTACCTCTTAAATAATCTTACATTGTTGAAAGGGCCGTTATACCTATACAAGGTCTTTACCTGAAGTACATGTCCCTGTTCTGCAAAATCAACATTTTCTAGCTTACAGACATGACATTTTGTATTAACAGCAAGATGTTTCTTATTCAAAATAACAATCGTTGGTCTCAATACAGAGATGAAAACGTGTTTGTTTTACAGAACAGGGAAACTTATTTCTGGGACAGACCTCGTATAATACAGTACAGTCATAATATTCTACTAGAGCAAGCGGTACGTGCATGTGAAATTGAGGTGACCGACTTCACAAACTTATTAAGTCATTAATCTCCGCTTCGAGACATAAGCTATCTCTGGCCAGGTGCTGTTTTTAGCTGAGTAAGTTCAGGTGAGATCAGGGATTGTGACCTGGGTCTTTTGTCCGGTCAATCCTTGTTCGTGTGACATTCTTGTGGCTCCTTTTGTGTTTCTTATCAAGGGATGGAAGGTCCACGCACCACGTTATCCCACCCAACCCCCCACACTTCTCCCCCCTCCCCCTCCCGGACCTGCTATTTTTTAAATCTCCGGTTTGCTCTTTTTGAGATACTATATGCGTATTCCTGATCGATAACTGTTGTGTAATGATTCAGGTAGAAAAAGAACAGCTTTGGTGAGAGAACTTGAAGAATCGGGTGACGTGAATAGATCAGGACATTGTCGAGTTGTTTTTTTCCATAGCACATCCAGGCATAGAAGGAATAAAAGACAAACCATGATTGCTGATGTATTTTGCAACTGTGGCACATGAAGAAAAAAGCAGAAGAACGCTGCAGGTGATTTTTAAGAAATACAACATATTAATTCGTACGTTGACTGTAACTTACGGTAAGTGTTTCCACATTGCGTGTCTTCATTCTAGTACCATTTTGACATGTTTATTTTTTTCTTAAAGTGGGTCTTTAACATACCCCCCCCCACAACCCTAATCCAAAATCGGTACAATTTAAATCATTTAGGAGGCGGCCTTCCAATCTGCCTGCCAGGGCCAATCCGAGAGACAACGTCCAGTACAGAGAGTGAGACACCCGATAAAAATTATTCCTTACCTTTATTAGATTCGACCTCGATTTTCTGCGCCTTGCCACTACTATGCGCCGTGTCACAACAACACGGACACATGTGAAACTCGGTTGTCTGCTTTTTGTCTTTTTTTATTCTCTCTGTAAAAAAGATATTGTATTTCTTGATACAATACAGCAGCCCGTTCCGCTTGAGCTATCACATGTCCCCTACAACGCTGTGTGTTAGACTTCAACCTTTTGTGGTACACACACACATGCTCGCATTCATTATTAAGTCGACGCCAGATCACGCTCAACTGTGCTTTGAAAAGGGGGAACGGAACATCGAGAGGCCATATCAAATATCTGATAGTGAGACAAAAAGGACGCCGAACACGGTGCCCTTCCCCAACAGTCACAGGAAAGCGAGCAGGATTTCGGATGTCTTTCGGAAGGAATACGGGAGTGCGCTTTATATTGTGAAATACCCTATTTTTGTGTGCGCAGGAAGGTAAATAAACAACAAGGGGGTTAGAAAGAGAAAGAAGCTGACGAACGTCACAACAGTTTTGTGGAAGCTCAGTTCTCAAAACATCTAGTAAGTTTTATCATCTCGGTTCAGGGGATTAATAACAATAAAAACAGTTACGAAAAAAGACAACTCCAATTTTAATCCCCAAGGAGACATTTGGTTTCCAAGGACAGAAATGAACCCAAATTATAATTGCTACCTAATAATTATGCCGGCTCAGAGAAAGAAGGATTAGAGCTTTTGATTTTTATGGAACAAAGATATTGTTATGCCCTGTAAAAATATGACACATACGCTTTGGGCATGATTTTTGTAGGTCATTGTGGTGAAGTCAGACACTCGTCAAAAATAATGAAATTGAAGAAATTGACATTTTTCAACCGTTAGGCAGTTTTTATCGATTTTATTTTTTGGCTCAGCACCTTTTATGTCCATTTTAGAACTCTTTTCTGTGTTATTTCAACTGAAAAATCCTCTGTGAAAGATAGATCTAGATGTATATTTAGAAAAGTGACTTTGCAGCTTCCGACGAGGACTCTCAAGCTTTGGAAACTCCAAAGTTTTAGTGGCCGTTTTTGCAAATTTTACCTCTTTTCTTATATGCTTTTTAAAATGTATTATATATCATTTTTATCTTTTGAATTATATTCTATTTTTTCGCTTTATTTCAAATTTGTTTTTCATTAGTATCTTCATTTTTTAAAACATGTTTATTTCTTTTACTTTCTTTTTATTAGTTTAAAAAAAAGAGGGGGGGGGGGGA